CCAAAAATAAAACCAGGAATTTGGACGCTTTAATCAACGACAAAAAGAAACGGGACGATGAAACAACAACTAATCAAAGTAAACACCTATTTTCGAACAAAAGATGACAAGGGCTAAATCCTAAATAGTTGCCTAAAAAACACATTTCAGGGTAAGTAGAGCCCGAAAAACTGACTAATTCTAACATCTGGTCTGCAGGTGTAGAACTAAGATATGACTGAGGTGCAAATGCATTTCAAGAACAGTTATTTTATTCAGGCCCATGCATTTTAAACCGGTTTCTCCAGTTCGTATACGCCACCCTCCCAAAATGTGCCGGTCATCTCTTTCAAAGTCATACTAGTGGTCATTTTCTTTTCTACTGTCATCATTTAGTGACAGAACTCATACCTCTTATTTTTCTTTTCTGCGTCTTTTCTTACTTTCCTAGATCTTTTCTTATTTTACTTCTCTTACGTACATCTTACTTTTCCTCAACAGAACTTACTTTTCGGCGGCAAGGCAAATCGTCCCACAGGTATCGGCCATATCGTCCACTAACAGTGCAACCTAAAAACCATGCATAGGAGCGAGGACCATCAAAATTCATTCATTATTTCTTAACTGTTCAAAAGTTCCAGCCACGTTTCACTTCTGGCCCCTTCCACTCTTCTGCATTCTGCGCATGCCATATTCATAAAACTTCACGTGTGCTTTCAAGTAAAACCTTTCAGTATAATGGCTATTCTTCTGAGTTTGTTCTTATTTCGCGTGGATCAAAATCTGCCCCATAACTCACTCCGAGATGGTCCAAACGGCAACGCCTGCAGACAACATTCAACCACTAATTAATCGACCGATTGCTTCCTCTTTCGGCAATCGTTTAGAACTGAAGGCAATTTTGATTCTTCGGCATGCGTCCGTACAAAACTTATTTTCTGTTCTATAACGGAAGGGAATCGAACCACTCCTTTTCATGTCCAGACGCAATTTGTTGCCACTATACCACAGATCCTTGTGCTCCATATTCAGTCTGGCAGCACATTTACTGTGTCTGCTTTTCAAAGCAAGATACGCCTCTCTTTCTCTTTTTTATGCGTTTTGTGCTGTGTAACAGCAGTACAAAACGCATATTGTTACGAGGTTGTCTGTGTGTGTGTGTATGTGTGTGTGTGTGTGTGTGTGTGTCCGCAGCACGCAACTTTCAACTCGGGAACACAAAAGCTAGGAAGCTGAAAATTTAGGGTAACGTCCCCCACTCACGTGTGACCCCGCAAATTTAAATTCAGCTTCCCCGTACTCGCGAGTAACGCGTACGGCCCTATGAAATTTTTTTACGAGTAAGTTAATATCTCGGGAACCACGAAGTCTAGGAGGCTGAAATTTTAGGGTAATGACC